GTTTCTTTTACATTCCAAGCATATGGTAAAATATTAGAAAATCATAAAAAATTTTTTTAATAAAATTATGATTCTTTGTTCAAAAATTAAGCAAGTTAAAACATTTCAAAATTATTCGCCTAATAAAAATAAAATTTTGGAAATTGGAAATATATTTAAACAATAATGGATCATATGCAATATATGAACAAAATTGAAAAATTTTTTTAAATGTAACCGCTATGGTTTGAAAAAAGCTGGCGGCATTGTTCTCCCTCAAAACCCAAATATCATCATTTATACCAAATTTAAAGGTTAAAAAATGATGGACAAAATTTTATATTGCTAAAATTTCCTTCATTAGATTATGGTAGTACATTTTTGAAAAAGGATACTATAAAATCTTGCAAACTGTCAATTCCTAATCAAAACAAGGTATACATTTCGGAGAAAAAAGACGTATATTCAATTTATTGAGCTATTATTCTATTTCAAATATATTTCCAGTGCACAATTTGGTCAAAATTAGAACATCATCCAAAAGCGAAAAAAACTAATTCAACATGAATTCTAACCATATGAATAAAACCATATATATAACGGCCGAAACATTGTACTATAGATATAAATAAAAATATTAAAATAGTCCGAATAATGTAAATTTAAAACAATCTATCTTAATACAAATTTATACCTTTCATAAATAGATCATTTTTATCTTAAATAAATCAACGAATATTTTAAAAATAACTTGAAAATTTATCTTGTTAAAAATTTAAACATATTGAAAATAATCAAAAATTGACTATAATTGGTCAGTAACCATTTGGTACATTTAACATTGAACGAGATAAGGATTTCAAAATGGCATTTGTTTAAATAAACAAAATGAGTCTTATCTGCAAAAATTCACCCTTCAAGAAAATTTAATTTTTCAATGTGACTTTTTTTAAAGTCTTTTGAAATAAATGATATTAATTTCCACCTTATTCTTCTCTCTTTTTTTCACAGCATTAAATAGGGTTTATGCAAATTTCGAATATGCAACTATATATATAATCTTTTTATATGATAATTGCCATTTTATACAATTTGAATTGTTTCATCAGCCGTATTCATAAGTATAAAAAAAATACAAATTTTTGTATTTTAACCTAATTATGTACAATAATGGATCATATGCAATCTAGGTGAACAATTCAATTGGAAAAATTTGAAATTGAAAATAAATACAATGTATCTAAATACAAATTAGAGACCTGTCATAATAGATCATTCCATCTTAAATTTGAATGAGACAAAGTTAAATTTTAAATTTTTGACATGTTAAATGGGGACAGAATAAGTTTGTCAATTTTTTTTTTAAAATTTTTGTATAAAGCTGCGAACAATTTTCTTTTAAGCTAGTAATATAAAAATAAATGATATTAATACATTTATTTTTCACAGTTTAAAAAAAAGGCCTGTTCAAGGATCTAATGTACAACCTCCAATCAAATCTTATCATCTATGGCAATGCATTCTACTACATCTCAATTTTCATAAGGTAGTATTCATATAAAAAAATACAATTTTTTTTTTATTATAATCTAATTATGTATAATAATGGATCATATGCAATGTAGCTGAAAAATTCAACTACAAAAACTGAAAATAAATACAATGTATCTAAATACAAATTATAGACATGTCATAATAGATCATTCCGTCTTAAATAAATCAACAATGTTTTGTGACAATTTTTAACATTAATTTGAGATATTTTATTGTTAAAAGTTGAATAATTGAAGAAGTATTACGCTCCGACCCTGTTCCTTAGGCTCTTGAAATTTGATGTCAGTGTTTGCTGATTTAAAAAATAACCCAATTTGCGAAATTTGGTACTTCGTAATTTTGCATTCTAAGAAGGTACCAAATTGATATTTGGAGATCCTCTCTAGTCTAATACATGAAGCAAATACGGTGTTGCTCAGTTTTTTTAGTTCATTTGCATGGCTTTAGTAAGCAGAGGTCAGTAAAGACGCAAAGGTCATGCAAGACGTAAAGACCAGGAAAGACTCAGAGGTCAGGAAAAATTGATTGAGTGATTGATTGTTTGATTGATTTGTTTAACGGCACATCAACACCTTATGGGTCATTTAATGTCTACATTTCATTTTTTTGTCAGTTTTGAAGTAATACAAATACGATATATGTTATTCTCCTTTCACAATTGAATACATGGTAGATAATACTCAGATTATGTGCATATACATGTTTGTGTGGATTATTCGAGGCGGTGATATGTACGTTTTATTTTGTACTTTTATTGCAGTTATATTTTGGAGTACAGTTTGATTTAAGGAAGATATTATAAGCACTAATATAATGAAAGAGTTCTTTCATGTTGGTAGTAGCACCAAAATCAACCGTTTGATTTTGGTGCTACTATAGCGTGATGCCTATCTCTCGTTTCGTCTATAGCGTGAGGTCTACCTCATTATAGCATGAGCTCCGCATCCCGTTTCGTCTATAGCGCGAGGTCTACCTCATTATAGCATGAGCTCTGCATCCCGTTTTGTCTATAGCGCGAGGTCTACCTCATTATAGCATGAGCTCCGCATCCCGTTTCGTCTATAGCGCGAGGTCTACCTCATTATAGCATGAGCTCTGCACCCCATTTCGTCTATAGCGTGATGTCTACCTCAATATGGCATCTATGTTTGATGGATGTCAGCTATCAGTTATCTACTGTTAATTTTCCCTCTGAAAGTTCTCCACTGCCTTAACCGGGTATTGAACTCACACTCTAAGGTCGTTGGTTAGATATGAGTTCTGGTAAAAACATGCAATGATAACAGCAAAATTGCAATATGAGCGCTGGTAAAAATTGTTCCTGAAGACATTAGGTTTATAATACCCAGAAATTCATACCCAGGTGTCCTCAAGGACACATGGCACAGTGGATAAAGGCGTTGGTTAGATCCAGTGACACTCCAAAGAGTGTGAGTTCAATACCCGGTTAAGTGGAGAAACTTTTTCAGAAATTACCAGAAGATAAGTGATAACTGACATCCATTAAAACATGGCACGTGGAACTAGAACAATCTACCCCAGAAATGAAGGGTTCTGTTCGACATTCCAAAACGAAACGTTGTGATGAATATGGCGACAAAGATAAAGACTGCGTTATATAGCCTTGGATAGCATAACTGGTCTACCTACTGCGGTAAAAAAAAATCTGCCTCGTCAGTCATGTATCGAAAAGATACATGATCGCCTAAGCAAAAAAAATGAAAGACCCGGTTAAGTGGAGAAACTTTTTCAGAAATTACCAGAAGATAAGTGATAACTGACATCCATTAAAACATGGCACGTGGAACTAGAACAATCTACCCCAGAAATAAAGGGTTCTGTTCGACATTCCAAAACGAAACGTTGTGATGAATATGGCGACAAAGATGAAGACTGCGTTATATAGCCTTGGATAGCATAACTGGTCTACCTACTGCGGTAAAAAAAAACTCTGCCTCGTCAGTCATGTATCGAAAGATACATGATCGCCTAAGCGTGTATCACGCATGGTACATAAAAAGAAATTAATAATATCCAATATATATATATATGTTGGCACGCAAACGGATATAGAATGTTGGAAAGACAACAAAGAAAACGAAGACTTGAGTAAAGAAATATATGGCTAAGTTTATCTTTGTTGAAGAAAATCCATCGGCAAGTTAGAGTACATTAGGAAAAAATATCTCTGCATGTTCATGTGTAGATGGTGAGAAGAGTATTGACCCGAGAAAGAGCTGATTTAGCTTAACCCAATCCCAATTTTAACAGCTGATTTAGCCACCCCCATCATTTCCCCCTACTTTTGTTTTACATCCGACTTAGCCACTTCCTATTTTTAACAACTGATGTAGACCCCTAGACATAAGACTCAGCACCCCCCAATTCTTAACATATGACTTAGCTCCTCCTTCACCCACTTTTAACATCTGATTTAGCTTACAACTGTTTTTTTTTACATCCGACTTAGCCCCGTCCCATTTTTAACAGCTGAATTAGACCCCCCATTTATAAACACCTGACTTACCCCCTCTCAATTTTAACAACTGATTTAACCCCCAACCCCTTAACATAAGATTTAGCCACCCCATTCTTGACATCTAATTTAGACCCCTCTCATTTTAAAAATCTGATATAGCTTCTCAATGCTTGTTTTTTTTTTTTTTTTACATCCGATATTATCCCTGTCCCACTTTTAACAGCTGATTTAGTCCCCACCTTTAACTTGAGTTAGGCTCTCCTATTTTAAAAATCTGACTTAACTCTCTCTCCCACTTTTAAAATCTTATTCAGCCCCTCCATTTTTAACATCACATTAGCTTCGGCTTACTTTTAACATCTGACTTATCGCACTCCCATTTTAACGTCTGATTTAACCCCCTTTTTTAACACAAGATTTAGCGCCCAACCCATTTTGTTTTAGATATGACTTGGCCCCTCTTCGGCTTTTAACATCTGATTCAGCCCCCCCTCCTCCGGTCATTTTTAATCTCTGACTTATATCCTTCTATCAACATCTGACTTAGCCTCCATCCGATTTTAACAGAGCTTCTCACACTAAACATCAAATTTAGCCCCGCACCCCACTCCTTTCATTCGGCCCCCATTATACCTGATTTAGCTCCCCAGTTTTATTTTGTGGCGCCGTGCTTGCTTGCATTATTAATGATTGATTAAACATTTACAGTCGCCGTAATTAAATATATATATATATATATATATATATATATATATATATATATATATATATATATATACACGTGTGTGTGTGTGTGTGTGTGTCGTTCTAATTATAAACACGTATATATATATATATAAGTTCTGAAATGTCCATTTCAAAGGTCGGGCGTGTACTGAATGAACTCTGGGCAAATCCCAGCCTGTGAGGCCATGCAAAAAGTAGTAAAAAAAAAAAAAAGAAAAAGGACAAAGGAAAAAACAACAACAAAAAAACTAAGAAGCGGTATTTATTGTATCAAGAATGAACAGGCGTTCGTGGGGCAGGGGCAGGGTGTAGGAAGTTGTGCTGGTGGTGTTGACGGCGAGAAGGGAAGGGTAAAAGAAAAGGTGTGTGTTTTGTCGAGAAAGTGGGGGTTAAAGCAAAATAATGAGAAGAACAGAATATGAGAGGAAGGAGGGGGAGAAAGGTAGATAGATAGATAGATAGATAGATAGATAGATAGATAGATAGATAGATAGTTTGGTAGGAATACACTAAAGTAGACAGACAGATAGATAGATAGATAGATAGATAGATATGAATATAATGAGATAGATAGATAGATAGATAGATAGATAGATAGATAGATAGATAGATAGTTAGTTTGGTAGGAATACACTAAAGTAGACAGATAGATAGATAGATAGATAGATAGATAGATAGATAGATAGATTGGTAGGAATACACTAAAGTAGATAGATAGATAGATAGATAGATAGATAGATAGATAGATAGATAGAATTACGGGTGGAGATGAATATAACGAGACGGCAGTTGTGAAGAACGAATCCGGGGTCGTCGGGTAGATGGTCGGTGTAGATACAAATGAATACATTTTAAATACAATCCACCCTCCTCCTCTCTCATTCTCTCTTTTTGTCACCTTCTTTTAGTTTTAAGTGACATGTCCTTTCAGGATGTCAGCGATCACGGTTCTCCACAACACTCTGCCTTTTGTTTCCAACGTTTTTTTTTTATATATACGTCTAGGAAATATTTTATCATTACAGTGTAACCCGGATATAAGAAAGTTGTCGGGACCGGAGAAGAAGTCTCTTATATCCGGGTTTGGTCTATTTTATATACATTAACACAGGCTCTAATTTGGGGCTAGAGAAAATCTCTCTTATATCCGGGTTTCTCTTATATCCGGGTTTCTCTTATATCCGGGTTTCTTATATCCGGGTTACACTGTAATGTATTTTCTGGGAATAAAATAATATATATGGTAAAGTAATATGTACGTACACACACACATATATATATATACACACATATATATATATATATATATATAAATGCATTCAAAATTAACCTGGCCGTGCGTCTCGAAAAGGACCTCTAATCGTTTGTGAACTGGGCCAGGAATTGGCTGGTCAACTTTAATGCTTCTAAAACAAAACTGCTCTCTATTAATCAATACAGAAATCCTTCCCTGTCCTCCATTAGAATGTCTGACGCTCAACTTTCGGGTTACACTGTATTTTGTTTAGGTAAGTATGGCCCTAATTTGGGACCAGAGAAAATCTCTCTTATATCCGGGTTTCTCTTATATCCGGGTCTCTTATATCCGGGTTACACTGTATATGGCATGGTAATATTTTGGTGGCGCATATATACTAATAGAATAAGAAGGCAATTCGAGAATGAGTTATTAACACTAACAGTAAATTGTTTTCTAGTGAGCCCAAATTTCATTTTGCATTTTTATTTCATGATTAAAATTATCAAAGTTTTTCATTCAAATAGTTTATATTTCTGCCTTTCATTTCTCTATGTTTCGAAACATTTAATTAAGTAATACGATAAAATTTTCTGAAAAAGAGCATAGCATGATGAATGAGGGCCTTAAAGCTGTCTAAATGTTTATGTTATTATCAAGAGGAAAGATCCAAGTATTTTGGGGGTATTTTTTTACACTTTCTAATCATTCCTAGCACGTCAGAAATTTTCGTTAAAAATCTTTTTTTGTCTTTAGTCTGCAAAATTGGCAGAAAATCGATTATGTCAACCATTTTATAAAAAATATAAATGAAAATCTCCGTTTAAAATTCTTTTAAAAATCATTTTTTTTTCAAAATTTATTAAGAAAATTAGAAATTATAAAGTTTATTTAAAATGTTTTGAAATAGACATAACTTACTTTCTGCACCGAAAAAAATTAGTTTAAAAATAAGACAAAGCAGGTCTTAACATTTGTTGTTACTTGACAAGTAATGAGAGATGATTTCATCACGTCAATACGTGATGAAAGTTATCGCACGGAAGCACAGAAGCGACATAATTATTTAGATTTAAGTGAACAAATTATTTACCTCGTTATTTTTAAAGAAAACTTTCAGCGCTCTAATTTTTCTTTTTTGTTTTTCTTTTTTATACCTAGCTTTCACCTTTACGTTTACGATGCTTTACGGAAAATATATTATTAAAAAAAATTAAAATAAGACTGTTGAGAGTGAGATAAGAAAGGTATCTAACTAATTTAACTTATGAAATTTTATCAGAAGTGTACATAGAATACGATAATTTATGTAAATTTATTACATTTTACTGTGTTATTTGTATTTCCATTCATTTTATTACAGTGTAACCCGGATATAAGAGACCCGGATATAAGAGAGATTTTCTCTGGTCCCAAATTAGAGCCTAATGTAATGTAATATTAATGTATATATAATAGACCAAACCTGGATATAAGAGAAACCCGGATATAAGAGACTTCTTCTCCGGTCCCGACAACTCTCTTATATCCGGGTTACACTGTATTTTGATATTTCATTTATGGAAAAATGTCATAACTGAGATTAATATGAAAATAATATCATATAAATTTCATAAGATAGGTACCTAATACATGTAGGTACCATTCTCAGTTGAAATTGAAAAAACAAATTCACTTCTCCACGCATGTTTCGCACGAACAATTCGCAAAAAATAAAGGCTGTAACAGAGGGGAACAACGCTTAAATGTGACGTTTTATTGTTTTTATGTACGGTCTTCCGTACATTTGAATTACAGCCGTTTTATAGACACGAAAGCCATGCGAAATTAGATTTTTAATACACTGGTGGTTCATTGCTTGTAATAAGCTTTACAACTTATAATCTGTGAAGATAGATCTACTTAATAACACCATTGACTAAACTGTACACCATTTCCATTAATTTTAGAATATTTAACAACTTTAATGTAAAAATAATTTAAGAAATAAGAAATAATTGTTTTAACAATTCATTTTTCATCGAAAAAGTTTTTTTGCTTTCAGACAATATTATCCATATTTATAAAAAACAACTAAAAGCAATTAAAAGCATTTGAAATTAAATAATATCTTTGTTTTATTGAGTTTTGCGTGTTTCACAGATGATTTTCAGATAGAGGCGATCCGATTAAAAAAAAAATGATTTGCTCTCCTCATAGCCTTGTGCGTGTTTTTAACTAATATAATCAGTAAATTGTACGGTAATTAACTTCTAGAGTTTTCATAAGATTAGTTAAGTAAATAAATATACAAAGAAAATATTTTAATAATAAATATATTAATAAAGAAAATATTTTTGCCATGACTTTAAAAAAGGAAAACATATTTATAATAATTCCCATCATTTGTGACTAGTTTCATTAAAACCCGAGAGTTATTTTTATTTTTTGCAAGATTTTTCCAAGTTAATGTGTCATACAAAAATAAAAAAAAAACAAACAAACCAAAACAAAACAAAAATAAAGGTTTTTTAAATCAAAAGTTAGAATGTTCTAAAAAGAATAAATTTTTTAAAAAAATAATTCAAAAATACTTTCCTCTTAATAATATCATAAACATTTTGACGATAAAATCTTGTTTTTGTCAAGTTTGGCCTCTTTTTCATCATGCTATGCTCTTTTTTTTTTTTTAGCGATCTCATGGAGGTACGTAATTTTTCGATTTCGAGGTACCTTTTATGTCTTTTTGTTTTTAAAATTTTTCTTTTTCATGGACGGCATGGTCTTTGGAGGCTTGTTTAGATTAAAGACCAAGTTAACGGTCTTTTAAACTTCCTTCCCGTGAATTGCACTAGAATTTTGGATATGTAAGAATTAAATATTACAATTGGCCGGGTGGGGGGCAACCAGAATTTTGGAAATACCAAAGTGGGGCGTGGCCCAAAATCGGTTGGGAACCACTGGTCTAATTTATAATTTTTGGACCACCTACTCGATAGGCCAAAAGTTCGGGGTGACCTTCTAGAGTTAATAATTAGTAAATTTCATATCTTCCTTGGTTTAATTAAATGTTTAAATCCTATTAAACTAGGATGTGGAATCTAACCATTACTGCATGGGGTCCAACATTTTAGAGAGGTGGGGGGCGCACCTAAAATTTAAATTCTTCCAGCTGTGAAATAACCATTAGTCAGCAAGGTACAATGGCTTAATTAGAGTGCGTGCCGCCCGGGGCAGGCCTTGAGTTTGTCCATATTAACCTTACCCCACTCAAAATACAACATATTGCAATATTGCAGAGTGACTCATCTTAGCACACACACACACACACACACACACACACACACACACACACACACACACACAACACACACATAGGTACCTCCATTAATTTTCGATACCTTGGTTTAAAATGAATTTTTATAAATGAAAAGGCTTTCTTGAAGCTTTCATTTTAGCTTTAATTGAAAGCTAAAGGATTAAATTTACTGTTTCCAGTAAGCAAAATACTTTGGTGTATTTAAAACATAAATTATATTGATTGGAATCGATCTTTTTATTATTTCTAAAATAACTGATTAGCGCCTTTTTTTTAGTCGTCAATCATCACAATGTAATTCTTTCTATTAAAATCTTCCAAAAATAAAATATACTTTTCTAAAACTTCATTTGAGGATTATTAGATGATTAATAAAGTATAACTAATCTGATTTGAAACAAATAATATTTACTTCGACTCAAGTTATGTGAGCGTCACAGATGCAGATATGGAGCCTCCATCGATGAGTTTGGTTTGCATCCTCTCTTCTGTCGTCGTAGTGCGGGCCGCTTTTCACGGCATGCAGCAATAAACGACATTATCAGAAGAGGTTTGGATGCAGCTGGGTTCCCTTCCCAAATCGAACCCGTAGGCCTCGACCGCGGTGATGGAAAGCGGCCGGATGGCATTACCATTTTCCCTTTATAAAATGGGGAAGTCGTTGATTTGGGATGCGACCTGTGCGTATACATTTTCGGTCGGTAATTTGATCAGTTAAGCGGTTGAGCCAGGATCCGTCGCCCGGGATACAGAGATGAAAAAAAAAAATAGTTAAATATTCTTCTTTTGCTGATAGATTTTTTTTACTCCTGTGGCAGTGGAGACTTCAGGGGTTATTGGCCATCGTTCGATGGCGTTCCTTCGGAGGATTGGCGTGATTGCGTCTCGATTAAGGGACAAGCCTCGTGAAACGGAGTGGCTCTTGCAGCGTGTCTCACTGGCCATGGTTCCGGGTAATGCTTTCTCCATCATTGCTGCTGACAGAGGATAGAAAAATTGTTTATAGTTTCTGGAATTGTCATCAATGGTCAATTGAATTTGCTTTGTTTCAATAAATGTTTATTTTACTTTAAGTTTAACATAACACAGAAATGTATTTTTAAAGCAGTAGCAGTGTTTTAAGTAATTGACTTGGTGTGTTGACAGGTCGTGAGATAATGATTGCTAACCTACGGAGAATTTACCTGTTTAATTTAAGAAAATGACGGGTGAGCCCCGCTTTTTTATATAATTTTTAATTACTCGGTAATCTTAAAAATGTTGGAAAATATTCTCCGTAATCTAATTTTAGGAATGTTTAATTTATAATTATCGC